ACTTAATTTTGAACAGTAAGATTTTTATTATGATATTTTAAAACCCTAACAAACTTATTTTTGTTTTGCTATATGTTTGTCTTCGGCTGTATTTCTTTAAAGTAAACACCATTTAGTTTGAAATCTACTACAATCCACTATAATGCATGAAATACAACTTCATTAATTGTATTTAACTAAACTGAACTGAACTACAGTGCACAAACACACTAGAAATTGCAAATGAGGCAGCTAGCACTGAGAGTAATGGGTCATACAGTTAATATTGTGCACTTGGACAAGTGCAAATGCCAGATGACAACACACTTCACATCTCCAAAAACTATTGGACTATTGGGCACAGTGGGGTTTGATTTACTGGCAGGTAGCCAAGAGAGAATCAGGCAAACATTATAATCCTACTTTTAGACTTTTAGAGATTTTAGGCATTGACTAAAACATTTTGTATGACCAAAACATTAGATCTCAATGCATTTCACTGGTTTGGATACATAATTATTTTGAGAATAAACGTCATTCCATATATTAAAATATTTTTTGTAATATCTGATAAATTATCTAAAAAAATACAACAATAAATATTAAATAAAGCAGTAAAATATTTCATAAAAATAAAATGGTAGTAAAAAAAAAAAAAATCGGCTTAATTTTTACTATAAATCGTGAACTGCCAAATAAACATTCTAACATTTCTTGACCTCACATATATGTGCTTGGCATATCATTTTGGATGCTGGCTTAAAAAGATCAGACTCACCTTATCAGACGGTCTTGTGTGTAAACAAGCAGAGAGAATGCCGATAACTCAAGAGCAATGCCAGTCTCTTTTCCTATTGAATCTCAATCCCTCCCACCCTGCCTCTCTCTCTCTCTCTCTCCTGCCACCCCTCTCTATCTGGTGGCATGTGCCACTGACACATGATTGTTATTGTGGTTTCACATTAGCACCCTGATTAGTAATGCCTCGATTTTACACAGAAAAACACCACTGCAGCAAACTGAATCACTACAAATGTTACTGTATTTCAAAGAGAAACTGGAAAAACGATCACTTTATGATTTATTCTGGCCTGTTTTGCAAAATTATTCACATACCTCAAGTCCATGTTGGTTTGAATATGCTTCTCATGTAGTGTTGCACTCAACCCTGCAATGTAACTGTAAGAGAAAACCGTTTATTACTCAGATGTTTTAACGACCACCTAAGTACAAACAGATCTGCTTTTAAACAGCTGTCTGAACCGTAGGGGTCAGCTGCCCTTTTGCTGATGCTGTTTCTTAAGTAGCTCTCACCTATCTTCCTGTCTATCTGAAAGAATGGCTGCTTTAAGACACCAGATGGATGAAAGCTTCGATGGCTACCTCTCTGCTGTGATCTTGGCAGGCCACCAACGTTGGATTTCAGAAAGTACGTCTCACTCTGAGACAGAGGCAGTTGTTGGTCCTTCTTCTCCATCTGGGTTAGAGAAGATGCTTTTTTTCTGTTAAACCCAGCAGGCAGCACAAGACAACAGACTAGATGTGCCAACACCTAAAAGAAAGCAGTCTGATATACATGTAAAGAAAATGTTCAAGTCTGTTAAGACAGCAATGTATACCTAATGACAACTTAACAGGCTGCTACAAACAGGAACATTAACTTCAGAACAAGTTATAACATTGAATGCATATTCATATTGTAAACATAGAAATAAAATACCTTGGCTCAGTGATAACGAATAAAAAAAAATGCTTTCACATGCATTTAAATTCAGTATGGCATTCCCTGAAATTATTGTACATGGATAGTAAACTGCCATCTAGTGGTCACAATCCAGAAACACCAAACAATGTAAAAAAAAAAGTCAAAGTATGTCACCTTGATGATCCCTAACAAGACAACAAACCTAAATACAATAGAAAAGCTTTATTGAAAATTGACATTACAGGACTGTACATAAATAGAAAAATTATAAACCACTGTATGACCAAATGTGAGAGGAGTAAAAAAAAAAACAGCATTAAAAAAAATTATCACACTTGGGTATTTCATACATGTTCTTGCATTTGTAAATGTGCAAATATTAAAAATACAACATTATACAATCTCCCACTTGCAGAAACTGCATGATGCCTCAGACTACAGGCACAATAATAACATTTCAGTCCATACAAAGATCACTTCTTTATGTTACATCAAAATAATAAAAAATCAATACCTGAAAACTTGAAAGGCTCTATTGTTCATAGGTTTTTCCAAGACACAAATAAACAGTCTATTAAAATACAGAACTAGACATATGTGCACAGTAAAAAGCGTCACAGCAGTCTTATTTTTTGAGTACTTGCTGTTAAAAATGTTCATGGGAGGAACCAAACCATAAAAAGTTCAGTTAAAACCATAAAAGCATCAGTTGTTTCAATTATCCCATAATAATTTAAGACATCTGAATATGAACCAAAAATCCTCTCAGCATTCAACACACGCAGCTGCATCACGGATACACACACACACACACATGCACGCACGCACACACACATGCACGCACGCATAATTTTCACCTGAGCGTCACACCACCAGACTCTCTCTGCTCACAGCTCCATTCTGGACAAAGAAAACACAGCAGAACTTTGTATAAGTATAAAAATATAACATAACTGAACATTAAAGCACTGTATCCTTATCTGCTGAGCTTAACTTAACATTGACAAAGAAAAAAAGTCTGAATTTGCCATGGAAAATGACCAGAAAAATGTTTTACTTTCATTACTTTTTAGAATGTTTCAGCTAAAGATGAAAGCTTGTTTTAATCATGGTAGCATGACCCCGTTTTTTTTCCCCCAGCAGGGCCCTTGACTCCTGACTTGCTGAACTCTGTACCTAGGCACATAAAATAGCTAACTAAATAACTAACTAAATGGCTGGTTCTTGCCATTCAGCTGTGAATATCCTTCTTGTCATTTTGCATACTAGTTTCTTTCTAATATCACTGCTCCACCCTGCTTTTTGAATATTTTATTATTCTGCATCATTCTTACTCGTATGCTGTATTTCTTTAAAGTAAACACCATTTAGTTTGAAATCTACTACAATCCACTATAATGCATGAAATAATACAACATTAATTGTATTTAACTAAACTGAACTGAACTACAGTGCACAAACACACTAGAAATTGCAAATGAGGCAGCTAGCACTGAGAGTAATGGGTCATACAGTTAATATTGTGCACTTGGACAAGTGCAAATGCCAGATGACAACACACTTCACATCTCCAAAAACTATTGGGCATTCATCCACAGTGGGGTTTGATTTACTGGCAGGTAGCCAAGAGAGAATCAGGCAAACATTATAATCCTACTTTTAGAGATGAAATAATTTTAGGCATTGACTAAAACATTTTGTATGACCAAAACATTAGATCTCAATGCATTTCACTGGTTTGGATACATAATTATTTTGAGAATAAACGTCATTCCATATATTAAAATATTTTTTGTAATATCTGATAAATTATCTAAAAAAATACAACAATAAATATTAAATAAAGCAGTAAAATATTTCATAAAAATAAAATGGTAGTAAAAAAAAAAAAAACGACTTAATTTTTACTATAAATCGTGAACTGCCAAATAAACATTCTAACATTTCTTGACCTCACATATATGTGCTTGGCATATCATTTTGGATGCTGGCTTAAAAAGATCAGACTCACCTTATCAGACGGTCTTGTGTGTAAACAAGCAGAGAGAATGCCGATAACTCAAGAGCAATGCCAGTCTCTTTTCCTATTGAATCTCAATCCCTCCCACCCTGCCTCTCCCTCTCTCTCTCTCTCTCTCCTGCCACCCCTCTCTATCTGGTGGCATGTGCCACTGACACATGATTGTTATTGTGGTTTCACATTAGCACCCTGATTAGTAATGCCTCGATTTTACACAGAAAAACACCACTGCAGCAAACTGAATCACTACAAATGTTACTGTATTTCAAAGAGAAACTGGAAAAACGATCACTTTATGATTTATTCTGGCCTGTTTTGCAAAATTATTCACATACCTCAAGTCCATGTTGGTTTGAATATGCTTCTCATGTAGTGTTGCACTCAACCCTGCAATGTAACTGTAAGAGAAAACCGTTTATTACTCAGATGTTTTAACGACCACCTAAGTACAAACAGATCTGCTTTTAAACAGCTGTCTGAACCGTAGGGGTCAGCTGCCCTTTTGCTGATGCTGTTTCTTAAGTAGCTCTCACCTATCTTCCTGTCTATCTGAAGGAATGGCTGCTTTAAGACACCAGATGGATGAAAGCTTCGATGGCTACCTCTCTGCTGTGATCTTGGCAGGCCACCAACGTTGGATTTCAGAAAGTACGTCTCACTCTGAGACAGAGGCAGTTGTTGGTCCTTCTCCATCTGGGTTAGAAAAAATGCTTTTTTTCTGTTAAACCCACCAGGCAGCACAAGATAACAGACTAGATGTGCTAACACCTAAAAGAAAGCACTCTTTTATATACATGTTAAAAAAAATGTAGGCTTCTAGTCTGTAGAGACAGCAATGTACAGGACCAATGACATCTAAACTGGCTGCTAAAAACAGGAACTTTAACTTCAGAACAAGTTACATTTGAATGCATATTCATATTGTAAACATAGAAATAAAATACCTTGGCTCAGTGATAACGAATAAAAAAAAATGCTTTCACATGCATTTAAATTCAGTATGGCATTCCCTGAAATTATTGTACATGGATAGTAAACTGCCATCTAGTGGTCACAATCCAGAAACACCAAACAATGTAAAAAAAAATGTCAAAGTATGTCACCTTGATGATCCCTAACAAGACAACAAACCTATGCTTTCACATGCATTTAAATTCAGTATGGCATTCCCTGAAATTATTGTACATGGATAGTAAACTGCCATCTAGTGGTCACAATCCAGAAACACCAAACAATGTAAAAAAAAAAGTCAAAGTATGTCACCTTGATGATCCCTAACAAGACAACAAACCTAAATACAATAGAAAAGCTTTATTGAAAATTGACATTACAGGACTGTACATAAATAGAAAAATTATAAACCACTGTATGACCAAATGTGAGAGGAGTAAAAAAAAAAACAGCATTAAAAAAAATTATCACACTTGGGTATTTCATACATGTTCTTGCATTTGTAAATGTGCAAATATTAAAAATACAACATTATACAATCTCCCACTTGCAGAAACTGCATGATGCCTCAGACTACAGGCACAATAATAACATTTCAGTCCATACAAAGATCACTTCTTTATGTTACATCAAAATAATAAAAAATCAATACCTGAAAACTTGAAAGGCTCTATTGTTCATAGGTTTTTCCAAGACACAAATAAACAGTCTATTAAAATACAGAACTAGACATATGTGCACAGTAAAAAGCGTCACAGCAGTCTTATTTTTTGAGTACTTGCTGTTAAAAATGTTCATGGGAGGAACCAAACCATAAAAAGTTCAGTTAAAACCATAAAAGCATCAGTTGTTTCAATTATCCCATAATAATTTAAGACATCTGAATATGAACCAAAAATCCTCTCAGCATTCAACACACGCAGCTGCATCACGGATACACACACACACACACATGCACGCACGCACACACACATGCACGCACGCATAATTTTCACCTGAGCGTCACACCACCAGACTCTCTCTGCTCACAGCTCCATTCTGGACAAAGAAAACACAGCAGAACTTTGTATAAGTATAAAAATATAACATAACTGAACATTAAAGCACTGTATCCTTATCTGCTGAGCTTAACTTAACATTGACAAAGAAAAAAAGTCTGAATTTGCCATGGAAAATGACCAGAAAAATGTTTTACTTTCATTACTTTTTAGAATGTTTCAGCTAAAGATGAAAGCTTGTTTTAATCATGGTAGCATGACCCCGTTTTTTTTCCCCCAGCAGGGCCCTTGACTCCTGACTTGCTGAACTCTGTACCTAGGCACATAAAATAGCTAACTAAATAACTAACTACGCACGCACACACACATGCACGCACGCATCATTTTCACCTGAGCGTCACACCACCAGACTCTCTCTGCTCACAGCTCCATTCTGGACAAAGAAAACACAGCAGAACTTTGTATAAGTATAAAAATATAACATAACTGAACATTAAAGCACTGTATCCTTATCTGCTGAGCTTAACTTAACATTGACAAAGAAAAAAAGTCTGAATTTGCCATGGAAAATGACCAGAAAAATGTTTTACTTTCATTACTTTTTAGAATGTTTCAGCTAAAGATGAAAGCTTGTTTTAATCATGGTAGCATGACCCCGTTTTTTTTTCCCCAGCAGGGCCCTTGACTCCTGACTTGCTGAACTCTGTACCTAGGCACATAAAATAGCTAACTAAATAACTAACTAAATAACTAACTAAATGGCTGGTTCTTGCCATTCAGCTGTGAATATCCTTCTTGTCATTTTGCATACTAGTTTCTTTCTAATATCACTGCTCCACCCTGCTTTTTGAATATTTTATTATTCTGCATCATTCTTACTCGTATTTATTAGTATATACGCAATACATTATTTGCTTGTATATTGTTTACATATAGATTACTTCACATTTTGTACTAATTCTGAAACGCATTACATACCATGATTATTGCACAACAATGATCAATTGAACTATACTGTAATATGAATTTAAATAAAAATTAAACTCAGCCAGGTACTAATAAACCAGTTTAGTATTATTTATATATTATTATAGTATTTATTAACATTTTGAATTAGCATTTATTTTTTATTTTCATAAACAAAAACTATTTTTAATAGGTTTAGTTTAAGGAAACATTAACAACACCAGCAAGGCCATCTGGATTTAGCTGGATCCCCCAGCAGGGCCCTTGACTCCTGACTTGCTGAACTCTGTACCTAGGCACATAAAATAGCTAACTAAATAACTAACTAAATGGCTGGTTCTTGCCATTCAGCTGTGAATATCCTTCTTGTCATTTTGCATACTAGTTTCTTTCTAATATCACTGCTCCACCCTGCTTTTTGAATATTTTATTATTCTGCATCATTCTTACTCGTATTTATTAGTATATACGCAATACATTATTTGCTTGTATATTGTTTACATATAGATTACTTCACATTTTGTACTAATTCTGAAACGCATTACATACCATGATTATTGCACAACAATGATCAATTGAACTATACTGTAATATGAATTTAAATTAAAATTAAACTCAGCCAGGTACTAATAAACCAGTTTAGTATTATTTATATATTATTATAGTATTTATTAACATTTTGAATTAGCATTTATTTTTTATTTTCATAAACAAAAACTATTTTTAATAGGTTTAGTTTAAGGAAACATTAACAACACCAGCAAGGCCATCTGGATTTAGCTGGATCTTTAAAAGTGGTTTTGAGTTCATTGTCAATTCAAAAACAACAAAAAATAATAATGAAATAAACAATACATAAGTTTTAATAAGCTCTTTTGAATCTGGCTCTTACCTTTTTTAAGTTGCTCTTCTTGGACGATGGCAAACTGTCACTGTCCTCAGTGTAGGGAGGGGGTGGAGGTGGGAAGTTGCTATGGTTTCCATGACGATTAGGGTTTCCGGAGGGCGGGGCGAGCGGCAGAGGTGGCGGTCCGCCACGTGGCCCCCTGTAGCGGTCAGAACGGTCGCTCTCGCTGTCGAGCCGCTCGCGGCTGCGGCCTCTCTGCTGCTCGCCCAGCTTCTTTTTTTCCATGGCTTCCCTCAGGAAGCTGTCATCGTATGCGTCCCGACCTCCACGGCCACGATCACGCTCCAGATCCATCAGGTCATCCACTGCTCCACCCTGCTTTTTGAATATTTTATTATTCTGCATCATTCTTACTCGTATTTATTAGTATATACGCAATACATTATTTGCTTGTATATTGTTTACATATAGATTACTTCACATTTTGTACTAATTCTGAAACGCATTACATACCATGATTATTGCACAACAATGATCAATTGAACTATACTGTAATATGAATTTAAATAAAAATTAAACTCAGCCAGGTACTAATAAACCAGTTTAGTATTATTTATATATTATTATAGTATTTATTAACATTTTGAATTAGCATTTATTTTTTATTTTCATAAACAAAAACAATTTTTAATAGGTTTGGTTTAAGGAAACATTAACAACACCAGCAAGGCCATCTGGATTTAGCTGGATCTTTAAAAGTGGTTTTGAGTTCATTGTCAATTCAAAAACAACAAAAAATAATAATGAAATAAACAATACATAAGTTTTAATAAGCTCTTTTGAATCTGGCTCTTACCTTTTTTAAGTTGCTCTTCTTGGACGATGGCAAACTGTCACTGTCCTCAGTGTAGGGAGGGGGTGGAGGTGGGAAGTTGCTATGGTTTCCATGACGATTAGGGTTTCCGGAGGGCGGGGCGAGCGGCAGAGGTGGCGGTCCGCCACGTGGCCCCCTGTAGCGGTCAGAACGGTCGCTCTCGCTGTCGAGCCGCTCGCGGCTGCGGCCTCTCTGCTGCTCGCCCAGCTTCTTTTTTTCCATGGCTTCCCTCAGGAAGCTGTCATCGTATGCGTCCCGACCTCCACGGCCACGATCACGCTCCAGATCCATCAGGTCATCACGACTACGGCTGCGCTGGCCCTGAAAACCAGCCTCACGGAAGGAGTCTCCACGCCGAGGACGAGCATCAGGAGAGTAATCACGGCGCCGACGGTCATCAAAGACAGGGTCGTATCCTCGTCCACTGCTGCTCCACTCGTCATCCAAACTGGACAGGGGAAAGTCATGGGTTAAGAAGGAGTCAAGTTAATGCATTCATTTGGCGTGATTCGAAACTATTCAGTCACTTACCCACTTCTGCCGCCTCTATCCCCACCATCTCGGCGTGCTGGTGGATAGTCATCTCTGTCTCCGTAATTGCGGCTGATATCGTCCAAATTTTCCATGGAGCGTGCACGTCCTCGATTGTCAGGTCCCCACCTGGGCTCATCCCGTCGGATGTGCTGAGAGACGCTGCTGATGGTGCTCATGTTTCCGTCCACATCATCGTACACCGTGGTAAGCTGAGGCGGTCTGGCCCGACCACGATTTCGAGAGTCTGGACCATCGTAAAGTGAGCTCACCTCGCTCATACCATCCACTGGAGGATAGACGGGAAAAACAGAATAAGACCAAAAGAGTAAAAAGGTTTTAATAAACTGAACACCTACAAATCATCCCCCAACCTTGGAAAAACCGAGAATCTACAGGAAACAAAGTTTACACAGAGTTTGTTTCCTTTAGATTGCCTGTGGACTTTTATACACACAAGTAGGACATGTTTGTGAATTCCTAATCCTGTCAACAATGGGTTGATTTAAATGTTCAGGAACCAGCAGAGGACCTTGATCCAGGAACATGTCCTACGCCATATTAAGCACCACTTTGTTATAACCCAACCCTCAGAGTGAAATATAGTGCCCATCTCCAGAACTCACGACGACTGTATTTGCCTGGAGTGTTCACTGGGTGACTGGGGTCATGGTTGGCCAGTTCTCGCTCCATGTAGTAAAGCACCCGAGTTGGGTTTCCATCTTGGTCGGCCTGAACACGGTATCCACTACGGGCTGAAAAACAACACCAACATTAGATGTGAAACAGAAGGCTTCAAAGGGATAAAGTCACTTAAAATGTTATAGATGGATCGATATAGTGAGTGACGTAGTGAAGATCTCTCACTTACTTCCTCCACCATCATGGTCTTGCAGGAGTGGCACTTGAGATCCTGCACCAACTGGAGCAGGATGAACAAATGATCAAACAATTACACTTATTGAAGTAAAACAATGTTGTTAAACTGCTGTTTTTAAGGAAAAGAGAGGACGAGTCTACCTGAGCTGGCTCTGTCAAAGTCTCTGCCATAGCCATTGGAGGGAGGACCAGCAATGCCCACCGGCATAGGGAGCATGGGTATGCCCGGCGCAGCTCCAATTCCATAAGCTGGCTGGCCATACATGTTTGGGGCGTAGACGGTGTGTGCATACTGGCTGGGGATGCCAGACTTTACCATTTTACCAGCCTCATACACTGTGAAGAAGTTAATTTAACATGTTAATTTAGCACAACTAATAATTTAAAACAACAATGCCAAATTAAATCCATGTTAACATATGGAGGCTTTTCTTTGCAAATATTCATACATTAAATATTTTTAACAATTAGTTTGATTAATTCATCATTATATCATGTAAATAATTACTGTAGATTATATATTTTTTAATCAACTGAAAGCCCTATTAAAAACAATTCACACAAAAAGGAATTTTGCAACACTTTTCTGGAACACATTTTACCACGTTCAGAGTTATTATCGTTAACTATAAATAAAACTATTAAAAAGCTTTTGTTAAAGCTAAATCTAAATAAACTAAACAAAAATTTGAAAGTTTACTACTAACTGTAAATAAAAACTAAAACTGAACTAAAGCTAAAACTAAAACTAAAATAAATTAAACCTAAAAATAATTATAATAGTAAAAAAACTAATAAAAATTACAAAAGCAAATAGCAAAATTACTAAATATTTAACTAAAATTAAAACTGAAAACGAACACCGAACTGAATCCTCTTCTGAATCCTCTGAACAGACACATACACATAAAATTATGACAAAATACCCATCTCGACAGTCATTCAGATAAACACAGTCAGTTATGTCTCAAGTGAATGAAAACAGCTGAGAAAGAAATCGGATGTGATGTGTATCATTATATCGGATCCGTGCATCAGGTCTTAAAAGGACAGCGGCCTATAAATACTGCTGCTGTCATTAATGATCATCAAACGACAAAACAGCTGTGATAATAAAAATCTATATTTAATTTATACAGTGAACTCTATGCAGTGTTATTTTCCCTTATTATTACATTTCTGTATTTGAATACTACCAACCTTATTTGTAACATATTCTGTTGTATTTATCTATGCTTGAAATTTGTGTATTTGTTCTTATTTTTACTGGCTGTTCTCTTCTCTTTAATCATGTTTAAACTTTCTTAGTTAATCTACTAGTATTTGCTGTGGTATCAAAGAAGTACTTTGCTTTAAGTAATAAATGGAAAGCAAGTTAAATTGAAATATTTTTCTTTTCTTGCTGATCTGAAAAATTATCCGATCCGTGGGTCAAAAACCGTAATGTGATCCGAACCGTGAGATTTGTGATCAGTTGAACTAGAATATATCATATGAAAATAATACTGACCACTTCAACAATTTTTACTGCCTTTTCATTCAGTTTGATCCTGTAGCGTCTGGACCAATCAAACACACAATATATATTTTGTTTTTATATTTAACAAATGGAAATTAACGTTCTTAGAATTGACAAGACAGTTGACCCTGAGAGGTCAGCTAAATATCTACAGCGGATCTAAAATATGAATAGTTAATTATAACTAGTTATGGTTAATTATTCATATTTCACATGAGCTGATTCGTTACAATCCTCCTAAACAGGGCATTTCTGGCTAAAGGGGAAGTGGAAGTGAAGGCAGTGTGGACTCACATGCGCGGGGACAGCAGCAGCGCTCTGGGCAGCAGGGGCAGCTGACGTAACAGCAGCAGGTGTGAGGGCAACACTGACACCAGCAGATACCAATCAGGAGCAACAACAGCAGGAAGCCCAGGACCACCAGCACCACTAACAACCAGTCTGGAGAACAAGAAGAGAAAAAAACTAAATAAATAAACATTTGGGGGAAAGAGTCAAATCTCTTGCATCAGATACTAATCAGAAGAATGAGGGCATTAAACAGAAAAGACTAAAAATAAAAACGTGTAAATGCAATACTGGCTTAATTTCTGTTTCATGAAATTTTATTTCTGTTTCATTACTTATTTTGGTACTTTTCCACCATCCCTAATGCTTAGTACATGTCATGAGATGGGTGCATTCATCTTCAGGTGTACATGTCTGTCAGTTCTGCAAGCAAAAATTTTAAAAAAGGAAAACAAAAAATGTATTTGACACACATAAAGAGAAACCAGCCGAACAGGTTTTGCCTCACGATACTCTGCCAGGGCTCGACTCCAGCATGCACCGCAACAACACCCTACATGCACAGACACAACATGACTCATGTGCTAACGCAGATCTTAGAAACTATTCTACAATGGAATTTTCTGGTGGAAATTTCATCAAATCACAGACACTCCTCTTGCACCATCTAAATACATCTGGAACCCAGATTTTACAGCTAACAAGAAGCCACTCAACTTACGCACATGGGCAGAAAAGGGCATCACACAACTTCAGCATATCTTTCATAATATTAACCTGGCACCATTCTCCCACTTGGTCCAGAAATACGGCATTGGGAGTAATTGTTTTTTGGAATACTCACAAACCAAATCATCAATTCAATCAAAGATTGACACTAGGACAATTAACCTAGACCTTTCCCCTCCAATCTCAGCGCTAATTAATATATCGAACTCAAAAAAACTACTCTCCAAAATATACAGAATGATATCAAAATCAGACAATACATTAAGTTTACCAAATGTTAAATGGGAATCAGACTTATCTATTACTCCCGATGCTGCCTTCTGGACACAAATCTACAAAAAGATCTACTTCATGACAAAAAATGCCAACCTGCAACTTATACAGTATAAAGTACTTCATAGATTTCACCTAACTGAACGAAAATTATTTTAAAGGGTTTTTACGTCAGAAACATGCTCACATTGTACACTAAACACCCCAGACACATATTTTCACGCCATTTGGCATTGCACCTCAATTAAAACATTTTGGGAAAACGTTACTGACTCACTATCCAACCTTATGGGATGTCACATCCCATTGTCTCCCTCCCTCTGTATATTAGGTGACATATGCATAATCAATTTAAACAATACAAATAGTCAATTACTCCTAGTGGCTCTAACTATCGCCAAGAAAACTATCCTCATGAACTGGAAATCAAGGAACACCATACATATTACATCTTGGAAAAACTTACTAATAGAGTACATCTCCATGGAAAACCTGTCAACTTCCACTCAAAATAATACAATAGAATTACACCCCTCTTGGTTATCGCTCATAAACTTCCATCAATCATGAATCCGCTGACCCTCTTTGTCTGAAGCCATCCTCAATGACACATCTTCATCAATATTTAAACAAGATTGGGGGAGGGGGGTTAGGAGGAGGTAGCAACAATGGCTAATATCAAACCTAATTAAATACTTATAAATGTATTTATTGATTTTTCTCCTTTATTTTCTCTTTCTGTCTCTCTCTCCCCACTCTCATTGTCTTTTGTTTATTATTATTTTTTCTCTCTCTCTTTCTCTTTTCCTGCCTCTGGGCCTCAGTTGGCTGTGGCGTTTCAGTCCCTGCCCTGTGTGGTTCGGATTAGTTGTGGCTGGGTGTGATGTGGGGCTGGGGACCTTGTACATCCAGTTTGTACCAGCTTTGCCCTGGACTTCTTGCCTCTGGCTGGTTCAGCACTACATGCCTTGTTTTTTTAATGCCTCACATATTAGATGCTATACATGCATTTATTGGAATATAAGCAAGGGAAAGAGTAAAAAAACAAACAAACAAAAAAACGTACATACATGTGTGTGTGTGTGTGTGTATGTATTTATGTATATATGTATGTGTATGTACTGTATGTATATAACACACACACACAGGGTAAGTGTGACGTGAGCATGGGGACCTGGGCTTTGCACTGGGCTGGTTCCACGCTGCACGGCATGCTTTTTTAATGCATCTCACACTAGTTGACACACATATACGTCTATAACAAAATTAATAATAAATGCATCAAAAAGGAAATCTATATATATATA